GTAAATCATGATTCAGGGATTTCAACTTTCCTCCAAAATTCCTATTTCCAAAAGGGAGTAACATTATATGAGGCCTGAAAGAAAGCATTCTTGACAATCATTGAGCTTCAATTACATATAAATCTGTCTTGTACGAATCCAAGAATGCATAACCAAAGAGTTAATCCCCGTAAGGTTTTAGACCAAATGTTGGAAACATTTTACAGTCAATGCTCCTCTTGCACATGCACTGTACTTTTTCCATGATACGTCCATATCCTTTGTACGCATAATGCTTGTTCTCTAAAGCAATCTTCCATTGAATTCACGTTGCAGTAAATCTCCCATCTTTTGAACTTAAAAATACAATGGGACATAGGAAAATCAAAATATCGTAACACTTAAAATATAAGAAATAATTAAAAAAAAAACTGAAATTTTTTTAATGAATAAACATGTAAAAAAGACTCATTAAAATTATTTAAACAATTTCACAAAAAATCTTAAAATTTAAAGTATCAGGATATCTTGATTTTTACTTTTTTTTCAAATACAATTAGGCAAAAAAAGAGAGGAAGAGATAGAGGTTATAATATAGAGGCTAAAACCAACTTTTAGTTCCTCACCTTACAAAATTGGTAAGTTTTAACCTTTAACCTTATAATATGACACTTTTAGCTTTTTACCTTACAAAATTGATAGATTTTAACCTCTCACTTTACAAAGTTGGTAAATTTTAGCCAATTACCTTATTATGACACTTTTAACCCCTTATCTGTACGAATTGAAAAAAATAACTCTTATTTAACATCAAGTTATAATGTTCTATTAGTTATGTTAGTTGACTGACACTTTTGTTAGTTGACTGTTAGTTTTGTTAGTTAACTGTTAGAATCCGTTAACATTCCATTAATGAAACTAACAAATAAAATTGAATTTAAATTATATGTTTTTTTATAAGGAATATTAATCGATGTTAAGAATTAACTAACAAAATAACAAAACGTTATGACCTGATATTAGGTGAGGACTTTTTTCTTTAATTTGTATCGGTGAGGGGCTGAAAATATCATAATATAAGATAAAATGTTAAAATCTATCAATTTTATAAGGTAAAGGGCTAACACTTATCAACTTGGTAAGATAAAGGGTTAAAACTGTTATGTTATAAAGTAAAAGGCTAAATGTTGGTTTTTGCCTAATACAGAGAAGCAAGAGAAAAGGGATGTTTTAGAAAAACATGGATACCGAGTCATTTTGCTCCATACTGGCTTGTTTTCATTTCTTCGAAATACACGGGTAGTTGGGTACTGGACGATCTACAGATGCCTTGATCTCTTTTGCAACTATGTATATACAATCCCCAAACTCATTTGTCTATGAACTGATGGTTTCAACTTCTTATGTTCCTGTAATTAAAATGAGAACGTTAATTAGTGTTTAGAATTATTGACTGTTTGACATGCAAACTTCCTAGACCAAAAAATTCAGAGTATTAAAAAGTTTGAAGCAAAGACACTAAATGAATATATAGAAGTCATTTCTCTCGATTTTTGAATGAATAGAAAGGTTATGTTAACTAATTTGAGACGGAGATATCTAAGATCCTAAATTTGACCTTTATTTTTCTACCTTCTTAGCAAACAACCCAAAAGAAAGAGGAAATAAAAATGCTGAAATTCACCATTTAACAGGAAACATAAATGATAAAACAATTTATAAGATTCATTTTAATTTAACACAATATACAATATATTTATTAAAAAATTACTTTCTTAATTCAAAATTAAAAATAAATCTAAACAATAAAAAAATTGACCCCTACGATGTTCTTATCTGGCTCAATATTCCCTTATTATTCCTTTCTCTCACTTCTCTAAGATACTCTACCCTCTCACAGTATTTTTTTTCTTCCAATTTTACCCTCCAATGTTGCTATCTCCCTTACATATATTAGGAATGGCTTTCTGGTCATTTCACTACCCAAATGGCTATCATTCACAGAGATTGTTTTCTTTGTTCTACCCTCGGTGCTTCGTTTCTCCCTTTTTCTCTCGGAACATGACTTTTGAGTCTTTTTGCTCTTTTGTGTTTCTGATGATCGCTTGATTCAATCTTCGAAAATCTGGTCTTTGGTCATTGATCATGGAAGAGGAAATTTTGAGCTGGATTTTGATATTTGAGCACTTGAATGGCAATTCTCCTTGTGGTTACGCAATCGGCATTCATTGTCAACCTCAAGGAGTATTGCTGTTCCTTTGGTGCTTGTGGTTCGGCTTTATGCAGCAAAAATTTATTTTTAACCTCTCACTTTATTAAGTCTGAAGGTTTTAGTCTCTTACTTTATATTATAATACTTTTGGCCTCTCACCTTTCTAGATTTATAAGTTTTAACCCCTCACCTATTAAAATTGAAGAAAATAACCCTCACTTTATATTGACTGTTAATTTTATTAGCTGAAAGTAAATTTTTATCAACTAACAATAAACTAATAGTTAATTAACAGAATTAACAAAATATTATAAAATTAGTTCTGTTAACTTAATTAGTTGAAAAAAAGTTTTTAACAATTAACAGTCAACTAATAGTTAGTTAATAGAATTAACAGTCAACTAACAAAATTAATAAAATGTTACAAAATGAAGGTTATTTTTTTCAATTTTAATAAATGAGGAGTTAAAAGTGTCATAAGATAAAGGGTTAAACTTTACAAATTTAATAAGATAATGAATTAAAAATGTCTCATTATAAGGTAAGGATTAAAATCTTCAAACTTATCCAAAAAATGCATTTCTTATTATGAGAACCAAGTTTGTAAATCGAGAAACATGTTTTGAATTCGATAATATTTGTTGCTTAAGTTGTTGTT